CAAGGAAGGCAGAGACTATATACGATTTATGGCTGGGTGCAGTGCCTTAGCCTACCAAGTGTTATGATTACAGGTATGAGCACTGCGCCTGGGCAAATCATAATATACAAGCTTTCCCAAAGGATAATAATCCTTTCTCTCTCCAATGGCAGTGAGGTCAAATTTATAAACTATGTTTCGGATGCCAAAAATGATTATATTTATAATTTATCTTGTTCTCAAGCCTCAGTCTGGGTGGTCAAGAAAAACCTTTATTGCCAGGGAAAAGTCATTCAGTCTTTCTGTTTAAACCACGTCTCTTTCAGTTCAGCCAATTTCTTTTTGGTAGATAATCAATCTATTCAAGTCTAAACTTCTACCAGGCTGCCTTTGTACTTTGAAAATGCCTTCCCCTCCCAATCCTCCTTCCCAAGTGGGCATTGGCTGAAGGGAGTTCCATGCATCCTCAAAGGAGGGTGAGAGAGAAGCGTTATCTTTGTGCTGTCTGCTGTGTCAAGTAAAAGACTGCGCACAATGTCGCTTGGCTATTCTGGGCCTTACATCAGTCCTAGAGGCCACAGATGTGTGCTTGTCCGGCATGATTGCTTTAGGCATTTTGTCAACATCAGCTGGTAAATCTTGGTTCCTGTTTTGCCTTGGTCTCTGGTTGTTAGGTCCTGTAACATGCACCTTTTTATTTAAACCCCAGGCCCCTTTGGATTTCAGTTCTCTTAGCCTTTTCACATGTTCACTGAGGCTTGTGTAAATTTTGGATTTTTTTTACAAGATCTTCAGTTATTATATTTAGGGAAGGGGCTGGGAGCGGTGGCTCATGCCTGTAATCCTGGCACTCTGGGAAACTGAGCGCGTGGTGTGCTCAAGGTCAGGAGTTTGAAACCAGCCTGAGCAAGAGGCGAGACCCGTCTCTACTTAAATAGAGAGAATTAATTGGTCAACTAATGTGCCGGGCATGGTGGACCATGCCTGTCAGTCCCAACTACTTGGGGGGTGGGCAGGAGGATCACTTGAGCCCAGGAGTTTGAGGTTGCTGTGACCAGGCTCACGCCATGGACTCACTTAGCTGGGGCACAGGTGGAATCTG